AGGAATTGGTGTTGGCTCTGATGATATACTGTAGTGTTATAGCACATCACCTTTATTTAGACAGTGCATTTTTTAGACATTTAGGCCTAGGCCTAGACAGTTTTTCATAGGATCAGGCCTATAGTATACTATTATTAGTAGGCCTAGGGGCCTAGGTCTATTATTATGAGAAAAAAAAATGCACTAGCACAATTAATGTGACAAAGATGGCATGACATGACAAGTCTAGGCTAGTAGTAGAAACCTAAGATGTGTATAAGAGACAGAAATGAGAGTACTAATTTAATCTTATTTATTAACTATAATCCTAGAACATAATTCAATATAAACTTACATCAGTTTCTTCTCCAGAACCTGTTGCATTGTATTCATGACCTGAAATGATACAATGTTTCGGTTACTATTCCAAAACAAGAGAACAAAGTCTGATGCTAAGTGGAAATGGCAAACCTTGAATGCATAATTGGAAGATAGCTAAGTTCACTGTCTGTAATCTAGAATTACAAGCACCACAAACTTGTCGTCTGTCTATGTTTAAACACGAGCCTATGCAAACATCAGTATAATTGGAAGATAGTTAAGTTCACTGTCTGTAATCTAGAATTACAAGCACCACAACCTTGTCGTCTGCCTATGTTCAAACACAGGCCTATGCAAACATCAGTTACTTTCTTTTGTCACGGTGAGGTAGTATTATACAACCAGAAGAAATTAAGATGGATCCTATTGCAGACAGATTATTAGATGATATAATTGGCATATTATTCCAAGATGATTTGATAGGAAACATACAGTTTGAAATGGCAGTCGAAGACGCAAATCGGGCTATTCAAGGTAATACATTATTTACTTATTTAATCTTTACACTTTTTTCCTATTAATCTTTACACACCCATAATATTTTTTCTTAACTTTATACATAAAAATTTGTAATTGTTACATATAAAAATTTATGATAGGTGTATTGATATTATTTTATTTTTTTTTACTCAACAGACCAAACTGAAAATTCTAGTAATACTAAGGTCTTTGCTGATTTTTTCCCCTTAAGTTTTTCCCATTTCTTATTAATCTTCACACGCCAATACTATGCTTATACACCAAATATTTGTAATTATTACCTATAAAAATATAAATAATTTAGATTTTTTTTTACTCTACAGAACAAAACTCGATTGAAGGTAAGGTATTTACTGATTATTTCATTTTCACCTAGCTTAATTTTTTTCTTATTAATCTTCACACACCCATAATAATGTTTTGTTAATGCTTATACATCAACTATTGTAATTATTTGCTTTTTAAAATTTCTTTTTTGTTACAAACATAATCTTTTTTTCTTCTCAGTTGTTGGGTTTGAATAAATTAAGCGTTAAATTATCAAACTTTGTTTACAATTTGAAATATATTTTTTCATTTTTTTATACGCATACAGAAAACCAAAGCGAAGGAAGAAATGTACTAATTGAGGGTAAGGGCTTGACTCGTTATTGTTGATGCTATTTGAAAGTTATCAATAATAATAACTGAGATATATATATATATATATTGTTTACATTTTTTTAAATTTTTTTTTTAAATTTTTTTTTTTCAAAATGTCCAACTCAAAGAGCTCAATCACCAAGCGCATAGAGGCTTTTTCGCATGATGCGCTCTAATTATTACCTATAAAAATATAAATAATTTAGATTTTTTTTTACTCTACAAAACAAAACTCGATTGAAGGTAAGGTATTTACTGATTATTTAATTTTCACCTAGCTTAATTTTTTCCTTATTAATCTTCACACACCCATAATAATGTTTTGTTAATGCTTATACATCAACTATTGTAATTATTTGCTTTTTAAAATTTCTTTTTTGTTACAAACATAATTTTTTTTTCTTCTCAGTTGTTGGGTTTGAATAAATTAAGCGTTAAATTATCAAACTTTGTTTACAATTTGAAATATATTTTTTCATTTTTTTATACGCATACAGAAAACCAAAGCGAAGGAAGAAATGTACTAATTGAGGGTAAGGGCTTGACTCGTTATTGTTGATGCTATTTGAAAGTTACCAATAATAATAACTGAGATATATTTTTTACATTTTTTTAAATTTTTTTTTTTTTAATTTTTTTTTTTCAAAATGTCCAACTCAAAGAGCTCAATCACCAAGCGCATAGAGGCTTTTTCGCATGATGCGCTCTAATTATTACCTATAAAAATATAAATAATTTAGATATTTTTTTACTCTACAGAACAAAAACTCAATTGAAGGTAAGGTATTTACTGATTATTTAATTTTCACCTAGCTTAATTTTTTCCTTATTAATCTTCACACACCCATAATAATGGTCTCTTATACACATCT